AAACATAAATGAGTCAAGTGAAAAAAAAAACGACCATGCCTCCACGTTTAGCTGGGGCATATATTACGAGCACCCTTACTCGGCTGCCGCGGAGGTCAATTTCTACTGCTAGTGTGCGGCCGTCAAAACCATAAACACAGTGTGCTCTTCGACGTAACGCTGGTGTCATGAAAACAGCTCCGACTCCGCACATCTTTGAATCAGTCAACGAAAAAAAGGCTTCGACTTCAAAATGTGAACAAAAGGATTGCACAACAAAAGGTGTTCTAAAACTACATTCCTATAAGAAGAGGATATCGACATGACGTGACCTTGCGAGGTGCATGACTTCTCTTTGCTTATCTTGGCGTCTCAAACCCCTGACGTTTAAGGAAAGAAAATGCACCGTAGCCATTTTGAAAAGGAAGTGTGCGCGCAAACTTCAGCAAAGCCCCTTGCAGAGGGTTGGGCGAGCGCTCAACGAGTGAACATGACTAAAAAGAGAAATGCTCTGACGTCGTCAGAGCATTAGCGAACTTTTGGGGCTTAGTACTGTCCGTTGAGCCCTCAGAGTTCGTGGTTGGTGGGTGGGCTTGTTTGGTGGCTGGACGGTCTATTTCCGTGGCGCTGGCGCCGACACTCGCATCGGCAGCCGCACCTCTATTCTGGTAAATGGGGTTTGACAGGCTCAGTTTGCGGGTCTGAGCCGAGTACTTGCTGGCGCGGGCGCTCGTCGTTGTCGGCGGCATAATCACCGTTGTGATGACCGGAGCGTCTGCACGTTCCGTTGTTCGGGTGCCGCGTCCCATCGAAGCTCTTGGCGCCTCAGGGCTACTGGTGGTGCCAACTGTGTCAGAGCTGTAGCTCTCGCGATCTCTGCTAAGTACGGGCACTCGGGCTTCAGCTTTGGATGAGCTGTGTTCTTCATAGGCGTCCGGCGAGAAGTCGCTGGTCTCGGATGGGGCGTGAAGGGTTGACGAGGCTTTCCCAGACAGGGGAGGCAGGTCTCCTGCGTCTTGTGGTTCAGCATGGGCGTCAGTGTCGCTTTTGTCAGAGTCGCTCGCAGGCACGAGTGCCGGATAATCATGTTGCAATGCGAGCGTGAGGTCGGTGCACGCTTGTTCTTCGGTTGCCGCTGCTGCAGCCGCTGCGAAGGACTTCGGGCGTACGCAGTCAGCTGTTGCAAGGCTGCCCGAGCACTTGTGGCACGGTTCTGCGCATCCCTCTATGGCATGTCCAAACACGTTGGAGCGCATGCAATGGAGCGTGGCACAACTTTTGGCGATGTGGCCAGCATTTCTGCACTTAGAGCACACTTTCCTGACTCCCCGGTAGTCACACATGACAATGTAGCCTTGAACTGTCAGAAAGTTCGGTATTTGGCTTTTCATTTCCACTCGCGCCACACGGACAGCTGTGCCAACCCCAGGGCGGCCCTTGAACACTAGTTCGTGGTTATGGTGCACGTTGCCGTAGGCGGAGAGAGCAGTCGCTAGGGCTGCGTCGCCTACCCACAGCGGTACCCGGAAGACTGTGACGTGGACTATTTCAGGACCTACGCTGACTAGTGGATCTGATTTGCCGATCAAAAGAAAGGCTCCCCGGCTCTTCAGCTTGGTGGCTGCATGGACGTTTGCGGCTGCGGCGCCGAACTTTTCGCGTCTCATGTGTTGGAGGGACTTGAAACTGGCTGGGCCAGTTACTGCTTCAAGAGCATCTATGATGTCGTCGACGGTGCTCCCCTCTAAAGCGCTGAAGTTAAAGCAATGAGCTTTCGGCGGTGGCGCTGCGAAAGCCATCACACTTCCGTCCTGGCCCTGGCTCCCACAGCTTGCGCTGTGCTGTGGTGCCCGGGCGTTGGCTCCCGATGAAGGCCTGAACATAGCCGGGGGGTTGTCCAGGGGTTCGCGTGATTCTCGATGAGATGGGATTGACGACTGGCAGCGTGCCTGGTCGCGAGAATCCTGGCACCAGGTAAGCGGCGAACGCAGCGTCGGCCATTGATCAACTACTCACAAGCGGTGAAGCACGTCGGCATTTATACTCTGGCCGTCGAATGTTCTAGCGTTATCGTAGGCGGGGGCGTAGGTTCCAAAATAATCTGTACAATTCGCAGAGTAGGCGTGATCTTATCGAATTGATCTACTACAGTCAGGAAGCTTCTCAAAAACTGCAGGCGCGGTTTGCGCTGAGAATCGTGTCGTGTTTTGGGACGATAACAAAACTTGGGAAATGGAACGTGGCATTATATCAAATCTAACCATCGCAATGTCACACCTTCCTCTTTTACAGATAAAGTACTATCAAACATATTACAAATAAAAAAAGCATAGTCAGCAACGAATCAGGTAAACGCTGTTACGCCTGGGAGTAAACACCGAACGTCAATGCCTCTGCAGAGGTAATCTGTGTCAAGGCCAGCGATCGAGTCCGCCTGACGCTATCAACTCAACGACGTTATCGAGCGGGGGCGCCGGTCTGTCACGCAACGCATGGCGAGCTCCCCCAGTCAACGAGCCCGTTGAAGCTATTGGCGCCTTCCAGTCTTGCGAATCTTACGCAATGCATGTCAACGTCACTCGTCATTGTGTGCAACCACGTGCAGCGGCTCCGGATTTGATGAGCATGACGTGGCCTAGCAGCGAGCCCCATTAGAGGATTCTGAAATCAGGGCCAGCGGCGCTTCTGGTTGTAAATTTAGTTACTCAAAGAATCTAGCCGGAGCCTATAAAAAAAGCTCTGTGGCGCGTCGAGAGCAGCTGACCTGCGCGCCAGTGAAGCCTCTAGATGCTTCGAGCCCTTTCGCTGTCGGCGTGGCCAGTGGCCCTTGCAGCGGCGAGTTTCGTGGCGCCCATCGCAACCGCATTGGTGGTGCGCTTCTTAACAGCGTGCGAGAGAAGACATCTCAGCTCTTCGAGTCCCTAATCTGTCGGCCCCAGTGCCGAATCTGTAACGCCTCTATTTCTATGCTGTACATAAACCTTGCCTTAACTGACTGTCACCTCGTCCGCTCGTCTATCAACTTTGCGCAGAAGCAGTCACGAGCTGAGTAACGCACGCTACCAAACAGCTGGTGACCTTACAGGTGGAGTTCAGAGCAGTGGTGCCTTCGGGACCGTGTTGGCGTCTCGCCTTCGTAACAACGCGCATGCGTAACTGCAACGGAGTAAAAACATACAAAGTAACTCAGAAAACACTTACTAAGGCCCCCCGACAAAACCCTACAAACGAAAACAGGAACATCCAATGCGCAGGCATATCCTGGTGAAACTAAAAAAAAAACGTTACGAGTCAGGTAAACGCGCATGCGTAACTGCAATGGAGTAAAAGTTACAAAGTAATTCAGAAAATACTCACAAAAGCCCCCCGAAAAAACCCTACAAACGAAAACGAACATCCGTTGCGCAGGCATATTTTGGTAAAACTAAGAAAAGACGTTAATTAGGAATTAACAAGCTTTTGCCATGAATGAGTACAGATGGTTGATTCACGCTTTTAGTGCCATTTTTTGGATTACACCGGCATCAGTTACTTCATGGTTTACTCGCTCTATGTGACGAAATACACAGTTCTTTCTTCGAACAGTGGAGTGTAACTACACTGACGGCCAAGTGGGACGATGGCGTACCTTTCAATGAGCTGTGATGCTCGCATAGACGAAAATAACACATCGCCCAGTTTGTCCCATGTAAGCGTGTCCGCACTAGAAGGGGTTCTCGTATGCTACCTACTTTACACACAACATCAAACGAATGCCATGTGTCATGGTACACTTGCCTCTTTCACTACAAACGGTACTGCAGCCTCGGGCAAATCATCTTCAGCTTATTTTTGGCTGAAAACACCACGCTGACAGCAATGCGTGCCGCCACTCTTTACACCGATGGGACACTCCCTTAACGTTGGGGATGACTGATAAAGGCCCGACTCTTTCACATCTTACCGTCAGCGTCAGCTTACGACCTTCTCTTACGGTGTTTAGCAGCCATTCATGAACAGCGGTCATAACAGCATCTTCAGCTTCACCGCTTGTTCGCACATGCTTTGGCTCATCAGGTGCGGGCCCGCCTTTAAGATCGAAGACCCGAATGTAAAAGCTGGCTATCCTGTTTTGTACAAGTCTAGAGTGACCAAACTTGCAGTAGATCAAGCTTTTTTGGCCCCGCCACGGTGGTCTAGTGGCTAAGGTACTCGGCTGCTGACCCGCAGGTCGCGGGATCTAATCCGGCTGCGGCGGCTGCATTTCCGATGGAAGCGGAAATGTTGTAGGCCCGTGTACTCAGATTTGGGTGCACATTAAAGAACACTAGGTGGTCAAAATTTCTGGAGCCCTCCACTACGGCATTTCTCATAATCATATGGTGGTTTTGGGACGTTAAACCTCACACATCAATCAATGGAGCAAGCCCTTTTGTTACCTTGGTTTATATCGCCAGCATATCCTACCAGGGCTAAACGTTAAAAGGAGGTCTCGTTACTGCAAATTAACGTTCCGCGGTGCCTCACACGTGAACGTCAAACATTTCTTGTTTCCTGAAAATGCTCATTACGTCAATCATTCTTCTGGTCAAATTACGCCTATCAATGAAAAACAAGTAATCGTCAACATAACAGAACACCTTAACCACCAGTTTAAAAAGGTTATTCTGAGTAGCCCTCTCCACCTTTGGTAAAGAAATTGTACTCAGAATAGGCGTGGCACATGAATCAATACAGACGCCAGATTTATGAGCAAAAACTTTCCCTTTGCACGTGATCTTCATTACCCAATGAATTTATTTTGTACATCAATAACCACTGATCTTCATGAACAGTACTTTTTGCGTTGCATTGCCATTTCTCTTGTATTCTGCATTCACTCCTGTGATAGCCTATTAAGGCTACAGTATGATTAGGTAAATAAATAAATAAATAAATAAATAAATAAATAAGGAACTTTTAGGTCCAGTGAGAGACGCTTGCATTTCGACTTAACTTAAACCTGGTCGTCTGCTTGACGAATACTTTTTTCATTCGTGCAGCCTTCGAGGACTGCCCTGAGATAAACCTGACAAATGGCTACTACGAAGGTGACTGCTGTGTACCTTATGACGAAGTTTTCTTCTTCTGCAACGACGACACACGTTACAGGCTGTTGGGAGAAACAACGGCTGTTTGCCTTCCTACCGGTAGCTGGAGCAATCGGATACCTACGTGTCAAGGTCAGTTCTGTATTCAATCACTAAAAAAATTGGTGCTTCATAGATATTCATGTATTTGTTGACATTATACATGTAGTTTCGGCATCTCAAGGCATGCCTTGGGTGTTTTTGAGTCAGCCTTGAGCGCCCTATTTTTCTGTGTGTGCCAAAGCGGCATGCGATGAACTAGTCCGAATGGCTTTGCAGAACGCGGGCTGTAAAACCAGAAGACACGAGCTTCGTAAAAATGCAAGCACATATTCTTGAAGTGAATGACGTCATTGTCTGATTTCGCAGAAGTAATGCATGAGCAACTGCAATACAAAGTAAAAGTGCTAATCACACTATTAACACAACCGCCAATAACGGAATTAGGAACGCCTTTCACTCCATATAAAAAATCATCCGCATAGCTATAAAATTTTGCTACCCTTGAGTATGAAACACTAGCCTGAACATTGCGATTGATTTATGTACGAAATATACTACACAGTGTGGCTGCAACGGATGACCCTTATGCATATACCAGTTTTCACACGCAATGCTTGTTCGCAAAGAGTACAACCGTCGACTGAACAGTCGACTCCAACAAAGTCAGGAAATTTTCAGTCGTGATAATCTAGCAATTTCGAAGTATCACTTCGCCAATATCTTCAGTCTTTGTCCTAACCGCATGGCTAATTTGCGCGTGCGGCACTGATTAATCTAGGTCTTGTATATAGATCGAGAAAGCCGTTCACCCGGTTTTCCTTTATCTACACTCTAGGACTATAACCAACTGAGATTACCGACTGACATGCAAGGACCATCATGGGACATAGAGCTAAGCTAAAGTTAAGGAAAATGATTGAGGTTAATCAGCCAAAAACGCGGCCTTCTGGCGCAAATGCGCGAAATGAACAAGCCGACTTATGGGCTTCAGCCACAAATAATACTTCTGAAAAATGCGAGCCCCCTATTTTCCCTGCTCTGCTGAAAGCATTCAGGTGTACCTGTCTCAATTTTTGAATAGCCAACGTCTTGTACTTCTAAGAATCGAAATAAATACATTAAAGGTCTTTTTCACAGCCTGCTAAAGCTTGTTTTGTAACATTGTTTTAGGCATGATCACAAATGAGTCATAACTGAAGGTTGCGGCGGCACAGGTCGACGAATGTATCAGTGCACCATCCAATCATCTTTAGCCCCGCCGCGACGGTATAGTGGCTAAGGTACTAGGCTGCTGAACCACTGGTCGCGGTGTCGATCCCAGCTGCGGCAGCTGCATTTCCGATGGAGGCGAAATTGTTGTAGGCCCGTGTGCTCAGATCTGGGTGCACGTTAAAAAACCCCTGGCGGTCGAAATTTCCAGAGCCCTCCATAAGGGTGTCTCTCATAATCTTATGGTGGTTTTGTGACGTTAAAACCTCACATATAAGTATCCAACCTTCTTTCTCCAATAGCAATTTAGTTCATGTAAACAATTTGACGCTTTAGGGGCGAAGCTCTTTATAGCGGCACCCGTTCGTCCCTCATAGCCGTTGTAATATGTAACAAGTATAACATTTTGACCTCCAAGATGGTGCCGGTGAGAGATTTCTTCTGTGCATTGTTAAACAATAAAAAATAGTGCACAATGTACATGCCAATGGCTGCTAATAGAGAATGAGAGACAGGAGCATCCGGCTTTTAGTTAACGCGATGCTGCAATCCCTATTAGCAGCCATTGGCATGTACATTAAGCCCTATCTGACATGAAAGGGTTGCTACGTTATACTCGCCGGGTGCAACCTCCTTAGTTTTAGAAAGGTTTAGGAGCGTTGAGCCGCAAGGCCATGAATACAATGAACTAGTATATACCATTAATGAACTTGGGGTGATTAAAAGTGGGAAGTAGATACGAAGCGCAAGCAGTAAGAAAGTAAAAGCCGAATTCTCCGGTATCTCACTTTCGATTAGCAGCCATTGGCATGTACTTTGAGCACTGTTTCACAGGAAACGATTACTGCGTTATACTCGCTGGGCGTAACCTCTTTGGTTTTAGAAAGGTTTAGCGAGCATTGGGCCACAGTGCCATGAATACAGTGAACTAGTATGTACCATGAACTCGAGGTGGTTAAAGGTGGGAAGTAGACCCGAAGCGCAAGCCGTAAGAAAGTGTGCGTGTGCCACCTCTCGTTTAGTCCTTGCAATGTCCGCTGGATGGCGGTGCTTCTATATGGGGAATATATGATGAAAAGATGCGAGATGGTGGTACTTGGAGTGTTGAATAGATGGACGAACGGACACACAGACAGATGCATGAACGGACACATTAACGGATGCAGCGGCGGATGCATGGACGAACGCAGGGATGGACGCACAAACAGACGCTCGCACGGACAGGCGGATGGACGCATCAATGGTTACACAGACGGACGCATAGATAGACGGGAGCAAGAACGAATAGATGGACGGATGCTTCCACTCTCCATCATTCACTTCGTGGATATGCTGTCAATTTTTAAATGCGAAGCATCTTTTTGTGATCTTCGGCGACTTTGAGCGCATCTATCTATCTAGCCGCCTGCGCCTTTCAGCTCTCCAGGCCGTTTCGTTAATGGTATCGATACCAAACTTGGTATGGCATAACATGACTCTATGACGAGCATATATGACTAGTCATAACATAAAATCATGACATGTATGTCATGAATGTCGTGATTTACATTTCATGGTTTTTCAGCTGTTGCGGTGATTTCGTTCACAAGACACGTTGCAAAACCAGTATGGTATGACATGATTTCATAGTGAACACAAGCGACAGACCCTAACATGAAAATTATGACATGCGTGTCAGGTAACGATATGACTAAATGCCACGCTCATGATGCCCTCGTGGCCATTTCGCTAGCGTCACGTGTACAAAGTTTCGTGTTATGGTACGGATGACGATGGTACGTGACTGGTGCAAACATGATATTCATGAGATGCGTGTCATGTCACAAAATGACCACATCACAGTCAAGACGCTAATAGACTTCGATGTGACAGGGCATGCGTGCGCGTCGGCGTTGGTTTCATCACGTCACGCCGGTGTGGCCACGCCAGGCGCCGGTCCTGCGATATAATCGCAGGCGCACCGCGCTGCATTGCTTTGACGCATACGCGTTTCGGTGCGCACGGCGTCCCTCCATCACGAAAAGAGGCAGACGCAGTGCTGTCTACGTAACGCATCTGCGTGAAATGCAGCATGTCGCATTTCGCGCCGGTTGTCATCGGGCTGCGCCGATGGACGCTGGTCGCGCCTGGCGTTAGACTGTAGAGTTCTCGCGCTTTGGTAACAAATTGCGTCGCTCTGCCCAGCGTGCGCACGTGTCAGCATCATGTTAGGGTATATTGGGCCCTTCTTGATGCACTCGCAGCCGTTTCGCTAGCTCCACATATACCAAACTTAGTGTTACGTGACGTCGATGGATGACGAAGGTATATGACGGGTGCAAGCGTGATAATCATGAGACGCGTGTCATGCAAGAGCATGACAACATACCACGTTATAGCGTGCTCGCGGTCGTTTCGCTAGCTTCACATATACTAAACGCCCCGCCGTGGTGGTCTAGTGGCTAAGGTACTCGGCTGCTGACACGGAGGTCCCGGGTTCGAATCCCGGCTGCGGCGGCTGCATTTCCCATGGAGGCGGAAATGTTGTAAGCCCGTTTGCTCATATTTGGGTCCACGTTAAAGAACCCCTAGGTGGTCGAAATTTCCAGAGCCCTCCACTAAGGCGTGTCTCTCATAATCAAATGGTGGTTTTGGGACGTTAAACCCTACATATCAATATATCATATACTAAACTTGGCATCACGTGACGTGAATATATGACGAAGGTAAACGGCACATTGAAACATGCTAATCGTGATACGGAAGTCGTGTACGGCATAATTTGCTTCCACCTCGTAACGTTGTGGCGATTTTAAAGTGACATATCAACCTTCCTCATTCGTGCTTCGCATATAACGTGGGATCTGACAACTTTTTCATGTGCATGTTCATGTGAATATTTTTATCAAGCCTCAGGCTTGTTTGTTTGATATGTGGGGTTTAACGTGCCAAAACCACCATAAAGTATGAGAAAAAGTGTAGTAAAAGGCTCCGAAAATTCCGACAAACTAGTGTTAATCAATGTGCACCCAAATCTAAGCAAACTGGCCAACAGCATTTTTGCCTCCCTTGAAAATGCAGCCACTAAAGCCGGGATAGGAACCCGTGATCTATTGGTCAGCAGCCGAGTACTTTACCCCCTAGACCACCGCGGCGGGGATCCTCAGGCTTCTGGTTGCTTCCTTTAAGTATATACGCGAGGAAAACATGTGGAAATGAAGTGGTTATTAGTCTGTGCTCAGCACTTGTGACGTATTAAGCCCATACAGTACGAAAAAAAAGCGCGACAAACAAGTATACAAATTAAGCTAGCGCCTGTAGTTGCAAGTGATGATATCAGCTTGATGGGGCGTTTATGCTTGACTCAATAAAACTATCACGATGCGTTCCTTACATTAAAGAACATCATAAATGCAATTAAACTGTCCTGCCATTATCATAATGGGATCAAGTTTTCCCAATCCGTGGAATGAAAAGGAATAACGTTTCAACAACCTAACTATCCGCAATCAAATTGGTATGAAATGTAGGCAGCAATTATACAAAATTTGTGTAGGGTGAACCGCGTTGCAGTAAAAAAAAAGGGTGTCTAGGGTAAAGTAGTGTACGTTTGAACTTGGCATAGGGTATTTTCCTAAATGTTGTTGGCAATAGCACCTCCCCGACGACTGTCTCTTTTTCGTCCTCGTCTTTAGTTTCTGCCGCAGCGCGTACTATGCCAAAGAAAATGCCGTTGCTTGCGAGGCTCGTCAATGTAGTTGGGTGCTTTGCTCTCAGTGCTTGGTCTACTTCTGCATGCAGGGTTTTGTTCCCCAGAACGGTAACGTTGAGTGGAGGCTCGCTGCGCTTCTTCGTAATCTGACAGTGCAACATGGTGTGTCGTCACATGAACACAGTTACAT